TAGTATAACATGTGTAAAGTAATGTACAATTCTACTATTATAAAAATACATACAAAAAATATTAATACCATAACGACATAAATCATACCAATAATGCAAAAGTATAATTGAAATATTAAGTTTTGTTCTGATCTAAATAATCAAAAGAACATTAATTAAACGAAAAAAGAAAAAAAAAAACTTAACCTAATTTTTTTTTAAATGCATAAAAATCAAATGATTTTTAAAGTTCTTGATTTATAATCTTTGATGCTTAACTTTGAATGTTATGTATTTAGTCCGATTATTTGACCAAAGTTTATTTAATTTTTATATTATATATATATTTTTAATACATTTTAAAATATTCGTAGTATATGTTTAACAATTATGCCAACTCTAATTGGGATGAGGTTTGAACCTAAGACCTTTCTTATATAAATTAATAAGTTAAAAATAAGTTAATAGTTAACGAAATATTCCGTTACTAAAGTTTATACTAACGGAATTTAGGTTATTTAAGGGAAGTAAATAATATAATAGAGGGTAAATAAGGAAAATCATTATAAAAAAAATACTAAAATCTACAATTCTAATAAGAGCCAATAATGTTAGGCCCTTAACTGGAACAAAAAAATGTCGGTCCTATTGTTTCTTAAAATGAATGGTTCATATTATCAAGAAGATCAGAGTTCCTATGAGTACCACTGAGAAAGTCTGAAACTAACATTTGAGTTTCTTTTGATCCAAAAATATGTTACTTTTGTATCGAGCTTTTAACAAATATTAAAAGGTGACAATTTATATCATGGACTAGGATCTACATAGTTTTATGATCCTTGAATCGAAACAATGAGGTACACAATTTATGCTAGTAAGATATAGGATTTTATAACATATGACACAAAAAACACAACACAATAAACATTTTTTTTTTTTTGAAAGGAAAATATTTCAATAAAATCAAGCAATTAAATGTTCAATACAAGAAGGGATATTAGAAAACCAATTAAGATGACCAGTATGAGAACTAGCAGCTCTAGCCAACACGTGAGCAAGCTTATTCACTGATCGATTGATATATTGAATGGACACTGATTCAAAGTGTCGTTTAAGAGATCGGCAATACTTGAGAACGCAACCTGCATAAGAATGATCTGGTAAGTCATTATTCAGAAACTTGCATACCAACTGACAGTCTGATTTTAGAAGAATGTTATGCCAGCCTTGTTCAAGAGTCCAGGAAAGAGCTTCCTTAACAGCCAAAGTCTCTGCAAGATGAGGGTCTTTAAGACAACGAATTGGTCCACTTCTCGCTGCAATGAAACCACCATTGCTATCTCGAACTATTATGCCATAGAAACCATCTGTGCCACCAGGTGGTAGAGAGGCATCAACTTCCACCATTACTGCCAAAGAAGGTATGTTTAGAGACATATTTGAATTGCTAGGAATACCTTGATTAACATAGCCATGCATCACCACGTCTGCCCCATGCAAAGAAAGATTCTGCCAGTCATTATAATAGCCTGTAGCCATACGGGTAATCTCATCCACATGCCACAACTTCCTATTCCAAACCCACTCATTCCTCCTTTTCCAAATACTCCAGCAAATAGCAATACAACGCAGCAGCTTACTATTGTCATATTGCTTGAATAAATCTGAAAGCCATTGTTCAAAGTTAAGATCAGCATGCAATGCCGTAAGATCGCAGATTCCTCCCCAAGCCCCAGTTACTTCATGACACTCTAAAAAAATATGCTTCATTGATTCTGGACAAACATGACAGATAGGACATAGAGTATCAACATTCATACCTCTATTAGCCAAAGAAACCAATGTAGGAAGGATGTTCCTAGCACATCGCCAGATGAAATTAATGAATTTTGGTGGAATCTTCAAACGCCACAATTCTTTCCAAGCTGAGAAAGAAGAATTAAGGTGGTGGTTGTTATCATTCAGCAAACGATATCCACTACGGACTGAATAAATACCTCGTAAATCATCGCGCCAACACCACATATCAGGACTCTCGGGTGAAATTGGAATAGATAGGATTAAATCAGCATCTCTTTGAATAAACATTGCTCTAATCATATCAACATTCCAGTCAGATGTGATAGGGTCAATCAAAGCTTCAACTTTCTTCTCAATGTCATCACTTACCACCTCCGTGTGAACATAGGGGTCATCTTTATCGGGAAGCCACGGTTGATGCCAGACTTTAGTTGATCGACCATCCCCTATCCTCAGATAGCAACCAGTCCTTAAAACTGATTGTCCTGCCAACAACGATCTCCAGCAATAACTCGGATTTGCTCCAATTTCCGCCTCAAGGAATGATTTTCCAGCAAAGTATCGTGCTTGATACATGCGTGAAACCATAGATGTGGGATTACTCAATATTCGCCATCCTTGTTTTGCTAGTAGTGCCACATTAAATTTATGCAGATTCTTAAAACCAAGACCACCCTCTGACTTTGCCATGGACATTCTGTTCCACGATAACCAACGAATACCACCCCCTCCATTTTGTTTAGAGAGCCACCAGTACTTGTTCATCATGCGCTCAATGTGCTCGCAAAAAGTGACCGGAAGATAATATAGACTCATAGTGTACGTGGGAAGTGATTGAGCTACACTTTTGAGTAATACCTCTTTGCCAGCTCTGGATAGGATCTTTTTGCACCAACCACCTAGCCGTTGTTTCATTTTCGTCTCAATGAACGAAAATACCTCTTTACGATTTCTTCCAATGCCAAGTGGAAGACCTAGATATTTCCCAATGGTCTCATTCGAAGTAACACCAAAAACATCAGCTACTGCTTGTTGCATTGGCGTCTCTACATTTCGACTAAACACTATGCATGACTTGTTAAAATTAACAGTCTGGCCTGACATATGTTCATAATCATGCAAATAACTTTTAATCACCTCCGCCTCTTGCACAGTTGATTTAAAAAACAAGAGGCTGTCATCTGCAAAGAATAGGTGGGAAATACCTGGGGCACCTCGTGCTACAATACAAGGGGATGTTCGACCGTCTTGCACCGCTTTTGTTAATAAATGTGATAGCCCTTCCGCACATAGAATAAATAGATAAGGAGAGAGTGGGTCTCCTTGTCTCAAGCCTCTCGTCGGGATAACAAAATCAGTGAGAGTACCATTCACTGCCACCTTATAACGCACAGTAGTGACACATAACATAATAAGCTCGATCCAACCACGATCAAAACCCATCCGTTCCATTATTGCCTCGAGAAACCGCCATTCCATTTTATCGTAAGCTTTGGCCATGTCCAACTTTAAAGCACACCAACCGGTCTTCCCGTCTCTCTTGCGGTTTAAGTAGTGGATTACTTCTGAGGCTATAAGGACGTTATCAGTTATAAGTCGTCCTGGGATGAAAGCACTTTGGGCATTGGATATCACCTTTTCCAGAACAATCTTTAAACGATTTGCAACCATCTTGGCAAGGATCTTATATATGACATTGCATAGTGCTATGGGTCGTAAGTCACCCATAGTGGTCGGGACTGCCTTCTTCGGAATTAAAGTGATGTACGCATCATTCATTCCTACTGGCATTGTTTTCGAATTAAGGCAGCCAAGAATAAAATGAGAAACATCGTATCCAATATCATTCCAGAAATGTTGGAAGAAGGCCGGGTTAAAACCATCTGGACCTGGGGATTTATCAGGAGCCATAGAGAAAATCGCCTCCTTAACTTCTTCATGCGTGAAAGGCAATAATAAACCTTCATTGTCAGTGGCAGTAATTGAAGGTTCAAAATTATCAAGAGAGTGACCAATTACAGTACCATTTGTAGTAAAAATAGTACTAAAATAATCCTTCGCAAGATGAACAAGCTTATCCCCTTCCACAATATTACCAGTAGGATCTTGAAGCCTTATAATTGTGTTTTTCTTTTTCCTCATCGTTGCATAACTGTGGAAAAATTTTGTATTGCGATCCCCATGAAGTAACCAATGTTGTTTTGCCCGCTGACGCCAAAAAACGTGTTGTTGGTCCAAAAGTTTACGAAGCTGCTCATCAATATCTCGAACCATAGCCAACGAAGTAGAGTCACGCCGGCCACGTAACATATTGAGATTATTCTGCAAAGATTCTACTTCTTTCGCAAGCCTTTTCGCAAGGTCTCCACCCCAACATTTTAACTGACCACCACAATGCTCAAGACGTGTTGGAATTATTTCTCCCATGGACTGTTCCCAGGCTCTAATAACAACGCCACGACAACCTGAGTCATGAAGCCAAGAGTTTTCAAACATGAACTTCCTACGTTGGCCACGTACCTTAGGCTTGTCAATATCCACAAAGAGGGCCGTGTGGTCTGAGGTTAGAACCTCCATGTTGAGGACAGTTGCATGACTAAAGCGTAGGCACCAATCCGCACCCGCCACTGCTCGATCTAAGCGTTCCTCAATCCAATTAGGTGTGCCACGACTTTTTTCCCATGTAAACCGCCTTCCTTTCATACCAAGATCAAACAATTGGCAGTCATCCAGAGCTTTATTGAAACCATCTATAAGACTATTGGGATGATTATGGATTCCCCTTTTCTCCGATTGAGATGCAATGTCGTTGAAGTCCCCAACTACTAGCCAAGGCAGATTGGACTTAGTAGAAAGGTTCCGTAAAAGATCCCAAGAAAGCTGTCGGTTTTGTCTCTCCGGGTGGCCATAGAAACCTGTTAAACGCCACGGTTCACTTCCCGGTAAATTCACTTGTATGTCAATATGATGTTTAGAGAAACTAATTAATTGAGCCGCACCCCTATCCTTCCACAATAGTGCTAAACCACCAGCCCTGCCTCCACCATCCACATAAAATAGGCCATCAAAATTAAGTTTGTTCTTAAGTCTCTCTGCATGAATTTGTCGAACTTTCGTCTCCATCAAAAAAATAAAAGTCGGCTTGTTTTTGGCTTCAAAAGCCAAAATTTCATGAACCGTTCGTGGGTTGCCAAGACCACGACAGTTCCAAGATAAGGTACTCATTGAGATAGGCGGGACTGGGAAGTGCCAGAACCCGCCATCAACCCGTTTTTTGAAACAGTGCTTTTGACGTCCATGGAATCAGCCAAAGGAGTAAGTTGGATAATTGGAGTCTCTGTACGACGTCGCTTCTGCTCCAGAATAATAATACTGTCATCCAAGTCTGCCGCGTCATCTTTTGCATGGAAAGAATTATTCACGCTATTTCCTTCCATAATAGCCAAGGCCTTACCAGAACTGCTTACATTGTTTTTGTCATATGTGGTAAGACTATCTTCTTGCATGGATTGCGGGGCCTTTCCTTTCCAGTCCGAAATCCCCTCTCTTCCCGGCGCCGCCCATATCTTTCTCTCAGCCGCCGTTTCCGGAGCCAGCCATCGATTTCCGGTCACCGGAGAGTTTCGTCTGTTCCCAGCACGTAATTCTGGCCCGAAAGGTTTCTCTGCTTTGCGATCCCAACCTTGAACTAGCCTCGGGCAGTACTTATCTCCATGACCCAACATGCCACATATAAAACAGAATGTAGGTAATCTTTCATAGCGGAACTCTAATCGAATCCATTCACCATTATCTTTCTTGATTCTCAAACCTTTCTTCAAAGCTTCGTTAACCTTGACAGCCACTCGAATCCTATGGAACTGACGCATAGAACCATCAAAGTTGCGTTCATCAACTTTACACACCACACCAATGTATTTGCCAACAGCATTGAGAACAGCTTCAGAGCGATACCCATTTGGCAAGCCATGGATCTGAATCCAGAACTCGGCTTGGTCCAAGACCACTATTTCTGGATCATCACTCTCAGAGATATGCTTTAGAACAAAGAGACTCTGTTCAAACGTCCACGGGCCATCATCGATAACACGAGAGAGATCTGACTCATGATAGAACTTAAACAGATATTTTCGGGCACTCAACTCTTGAACATTCATACCCATTGCTGGACGCCAGATTGACGCCATAGTATCCCGGAGATATTGAAATTTGATCGGCTTTTCAGTCAACAGTCGCCCAACTACGTAGAAGACCACCTCATCATCTCCAGGATCCAAGGAAATGTTTGGAACTTGGTGTTGAGAAGAGTCATCCTCGAGATCAGCAAACGTTAGATTTGCCAGAGACTGAACCACATTCGCGGAGTCCATACTAGCAGAAGCAAGAACGAATCCTCGAAAAAACAAGAGAGAAACCTCGCGAACCAGCGAGAGAGAAAAACCTCGCACAACACAATAAACATACATATGTTATATATTTATTTATTTTTCAAATATGATTTAGGTACATAATTTGTGTTCATAGACACATAATTTCATAACACAAAACACATAAATTTATAACATAAGATACAATTACTAATTTGTTTCAGGTATAAAATTCACACTCTTAAGGCACAGATTTTATAACACAAAATACAAAAACGCATAACATAAAAAACATACACATACACTAGAGTCCACAATACACTGTGAACCCTAATCCATGGTATAAGGATTGCACTTAAGGATACTAGATGTCAATGGAAAAAAAGAGAGTCAATTTTCGTAGTGGGCTTTTGACAAAAAAAAAAAAAAACAAAAAAAAAAAAAAAGAAAAAAAAAAAAAAAAGAAGAAGAAGAGGAAAATGAACGTACAAGATACCTTGGGGTCAGTCGTTATATCATGCACCAGTGCGCACAATATATTGTGCGCTCCGTCCTACCCGAAACGATGTCGCTTTGGTGCATTGTTAAAAAAAAAAAATCTCTGTTTCGAATACACATAAACTCATAACAGAATACAAAGAAACTCATAATTGAATACACATAATCTAACATGATACATAATACACAGAAACTCGTAACTGAATACTCAAAAACTCTTAAGTGAATACATAAAAACTCATAACACAATACAGAAACTTTTAACTGAATACACATAATAGGATTTGAACGGTTTGAACGGACAGAGTGACGCCAGTAATTGAAACGCACACTTTTGATGCCCGGGCGATATAAATCGCAAATTATGCCGTGGAAACGTGCTCACCATGCTTGGTGAACACGCTTCCAAACGACGTCGTTTTTGGCGTCGTTTAAAAAAAAAAAAAAAAAAAAAAAAAAAACACTGTTCTATTAACGGCGTTAGGAAGGCAGTTATGATCAGACAACTCTTTGCGTTTGATTATTTCCTATTCGCAAATCGCTGAAGGCAATTGTGATCCGACATTCGCGATTCTTTCCTATTCGTGATGGAGGAGACGATGGTTCGAGGAGAAGATTCAACCGATATGATTTCTGCGATTCCAGGTTGCGTTTGATTTTATGCGTTTGATTTCGTTTGATTTATGAGATCATGGATTGTTGAAGATTTAGTTATTTTTATTGATATTTGTTCAGTATCTATGCAGTTTGAATGTTCATAATGGCCGTAAATGTGTATTAGTTCCATGTTTCTGTTATGAATTTTACAAAATGCAATTATGTATTTTCTGTTACAGAGTTATGAATTTTGATACTCTGTTCATGCATGTGATATGAATATTCATAATGTAATAGTAATATGTCCATAACATATTAACTGGTGTGTTACACTGCTTGCATATACTCAGTGAATGAAGATTGTGTTGGTGATTCAATAAGCAATGATCAAGCAGAGTTAAACATTGACATTGATGGCTCATCTTCAAGTCCAGGTTCTTTTTATTAGTTGGTGTATCATGAATGTTGTTTCTTGTAGGTGTAGGTACTGATTCATGGTGATTATATGCAAATTGAATGTTGTGATTGGTATTAATAATCTGTTCACGTTATGAATTTACAGTTTGAGGTTATGAATTTTCCGTTATGTTATTATGAATTTTCCATATGAGGTTATGAATTTTATGTTATGAGGTTATGCATTTAATGCCATGAGTATCTATGCAACTTTGAATGCTCATAATGTCACAAATGTTATTGATATCCGGTTTTTGTTATGAACTTTCTTATATGATGTTATGAATTTTATTCTTTGTGATTATGAATGTTCTCACATGAGATTATGAATTCTATAGTGTAGCATATTACATTCATTATAGGTGAAATCCACATTCATAGTTTAGTAGTTGGTATAGGTGTGGTTATATTTTTGTTGCAATTGCAGTTGATGAAGACTTGGTGGGTGTTGTAGTAAGAAATGTTGACGAAGCTTTTGAGTTATATAATGGATATGCATACAGAGTTGGTTTTAGTGTGAGGAAAGGCCAACAACGTTATAAGGCATCTACTAAGTCAATTCAGATGAAGAGGTTCTTCTGTGCTAAGGCTGGGTATAAGCAGAAACCAAACAGTGGTGTTAAGCTTTACTCAAAGATTGATATGAGGACTGGATGTGGTGCATTTGTTCAGTTTGATGTGGGGGGTGATGGGATGTGGACAGTTACAAAACACTTGAAAGAGCACAATCACGAGTTATGTTCATTTGGCAAGAGTCATCTGCTTCGGTCGCATAGAAGAGTGGGAAACAATCAGCTTGAATATTTAAAAGACATGAAGAGTAGTGGTGTTGCATTGGCGGATGGTATGAGGTTTTTGAAACATCAGTCAGGGGGCTCTCCATTGGTTGGCTTTACCAACCGCGATGCTTACAATTCGATGGCTTCTGTGAGTTTGAAGTGTTTGGATGGATCGGATTCAAATTCTTTGGTTGAGATATTCAGGAGGAGGCAATCTAATGAGGCTGATTTCTTTTTTGATTTCGAAGTTGATTTGGATGGAAGATTGTGTAGTTTTTTTTGGAGGGATGGTCAAATGAGAAGGGATTATGAGGTGTTTGGTGATCTGTTAGTGCATGATACAACATACCGCACTAACAAATATGATATGATTTGTGGTCCTTTTGTAGGGATGAACCATCATTGCATGAATGTAATGTTTGGTTGTGGTTTTTTGATGAATGAGAGGATAGAGTCATTTGCGTGGTTGTTTAGAGCGTTTTTAAGATCCATGGATGGCAAGTGTCCACAGACTATCATGACGGATCAATGTTCAGCTATGGCTGCTGGCATTTCCATGGTGTTTCCTACATCACGCCACCGTCTTTGCATATGGCATATTGGTGAGAATTCGAAGAAGCATATTAAGGCATTGAGGAATCATAAGGATTTTCTGGATATGTTTAATTGTGTGTTGAAATACACCGAGACTGAAGCTGAATTTGAGGTTTACTGGACAAGGTATGTTATTATGAATTTACATTATATAATTCTGAATTTTCTGTCATGTCATTATGGATTTTCTGTTATGTCATTATGTATTTTCTGTTATATGATTTATGAATTTTCTAATATGAGATTATGAATTCACAGTTATACAATTCTGGATTTCCTGTTATGTCATTATGTATTTTCTGTTATGTCATTATGTATTTTCTGTTATATGATTTATGAACTTTGTAATATGAGATTATGAATTCACAGTATTCAATTATGTATTTTCTGTTATGTCATTATGTATTTTCTGTTACATGATTATGAACTTTGTAATATGAGATTATGAATTTTCAGAATATGAGTAATAAACATGTGTTTTAACCTTTTCAGGATGGTTACAAAATATAATTGTCATAAGAATACATGGCTAGAGAAGCTTTATGACTGTAGGGAGAAGTGGTGTCCAGCGTTCAACAAGGATTATTTCTCCGGGGGTATTTTATCTTCGCAAAGGAGTGAAAGCACAAATCATGCAATTTCTAGGAGGCTGTCCAAGACTGCTGGTTTATGTGATTTTTATTCATCATTTGTGAGTGTTATATCTGAATGGAGAAGTAAGGAAAATGGCGAGGATTTCCGGTGTTCTCAAGGAGTACCCACCATGATGTTGGATCATGTGAAACTCCTTTCACATGCTAGAGAGGTTTATACAATTGAGATATATTTTTTGTTCGAGGAACAATTTATGAAAGGTAGCTCTTGTTATCAAGAAATGGTGTTGAACGATGGTTGTATGTGCAAGTATCATGTGTGGCGACCAGACATAGATATCATAAGGCATGAAGTAACCTTTAAGGCAATCAATTTGGATATATGTTGTAGTTGCAAGCTGTTTTCAGAATTGGGAATACTTTGCTGCCACTGCTTACGTATACTTCATGTGCACTGTGTTTCCAGTATTCCCGATAAATACATTCTAAAAAGATGGACTAAAAAGGCTGTTGAGCGTACAAACGTGGACATTGCATCTGTGTTTTATAATGGTGGTGTCCCTTCTTCAATTTGGGCTGTTGAGATTAGTAGGAAATTTCAAAGGCTTATTGTTTCTAGCCAAGATAACAGTGTTGCTAGACAATTATGTGATGAAGCCGTTGAGAATGCAAGGAAAAACATTGAAGCTGAGATTGGGGATGTGAACACTGAGGAGGGTGCTGTGTCTTCGTCAAGTGGTATTGTCCAAGACCCCTCAAGCCGGAGGGGTAAAGGTGTGAGAAATAAAAGGAGTAGTAGTGTTATTGAGAAGAAGTACAATGCAGCAAGGGGAAGAAAGAGCGCTGCAAACAAGCTTGCTTCAATTACAAAGGGCTCTGTCCAATCATTGGTCTTGGAAAATATTTCAGAGATTGCTCGTGATGGATATCTTGTACATCCAAGCACCGGGGGTTCACAATTTGTTCATTTTAATAAGAATGTAGACCACGATGTAGCTATAGACTGAGATCATGTTAACAGTATGTACTTATGAATTTTATGATTTTTAGATATAGGTTGAGAATTATGTGTCAGATTATGAATTTTCCTTTGCCAGTTTATGAACTTTCATTTACCAGTTTATGAACTTTCCTTTACCAGTTTATGAATTTTCCTCTATGTGATTATAAATTTTCCTCTATGTCTCAGATTATGAATCTTCCTTTATCTGATTATAAATTTTCCTCTATGTCTCAGATTATGAATCTTCCTTTATCTGATTATGAATTTTCCTTTATGTGATTATGAATTTTCCTATATGTGATTATGAATTTAGAGTATGTGCTTATGTATTTTATGCTATTCAGATTTTATGAGAATTATGTGCCAGATTATGAATTTTCCGTTGCCAGTTTATGAACTTTCATTTACCAGTTTATGAACTTTCCCTTACCAGTTTATGAATTTTCCTCTATGTGATTATGAATTTTCCTCTATGTCTCAGAT